GAAGAAGAAGAAGAAGAAGAAGAAGAAGAAGCTACATAGTAAAAACAAAAGCAGAACATAAACATAGATACAATCACCACTGGCAGGGTTTTCTATACCTAGACAGTCTCCTGTTCTCCAACCCAGAAATTCAGCTGCCAAGGGTCTGCCAAGCAGAAGCAAGGACTCCTACTCACCCAACAATTCACAAAAGGATCCTCAGAGGAGCTAAGTCAGCAACAGCCAGAGCCCGCGTGTCACCCCAGTGTCCATTCGCAGGGGACGGCCTCGCCAACCTGGGAGATAGCCACAAACAGGAAAATCATTCAGCAATAATGAAGAATACATTTCAGAGACAAGAACATTGGTGGGCCAGGGAGACAGCTCAGTGGCCCAGCACCTGCCTGGCAAGTGCAAGGTCCTGAGTTTGATTGCTGGTATCAAAAATAAAAAGTTGGGTCGGGGAGATAGCTCAGTAAAATAAGTGCTTGCCTGGCAAACTCAAGGTTCTGAGTTTAATCCCCAGTATCGCAAAAAACTAAAATTAAATTAAAATTTTTTTAAAAATTAAGAACATTGATGACTTTCAAACATACTGTGTACAAGAAGCCAGAAAGAGTAAGTTGTAAGATTCCATTTGTGAGAGGTTCTGAAAGAAGAAAATCAACTCCACGGTGCCAGGGGCTAGGAAAGTGCTTGCGCTGGAGGTGCGCCTGCAGGGCACATACGGGGATTCACTGGGAAGAGGGGCAAGGAGCCGGGGCTGCTTTGTACCCCAGACTCGGCTGTCATTATGGAGGTGGGATCCTGTACAAAAGCTGTGCATGTAAGATCAGCATGCTTTAGGGTTGCAGGCTACACCTCAATTTTTAAAATGTTTAAAAACAAAGCAAGATTCCCTAAATGCCGTTTTTTGTGTGTACAGACGGTGTAAGTGAGGTCATGGGGCACCATGACACTTTCTGAACTGAAGCATCAGCTTCCCGGGGACACAGTGGAAAAAAGTGGATATGGGGAGCTTTTACAGATAGGACCATTGGGGTCTCCCGTGACTGACCCCAAGAGACTTTTCTCAAGAGTCGAGGCCTAAAAAGTAGTGTGGGGGCAGCATCAGGAAGGACAGGAGAAATGCCCCAGTGTCGGCCAAGACGCAGTTGTGGTCAGTTGGATTTGGGCATTTGGCACAACGTCCTCTGGAAGTGGCAGTGCAGGCTGGCTTTCACAAGCCGGCATTAGAACTACACTGACGTCCACAGCCCTCTGCTCAGTCCTGGGGAAAGCCTGTCAGCTCCAGCCACGGGCCAGCAGAGAGCCAGGCGGCTCCTCAGACCCGGGCTGTGGAGGCAGCCGAAGAAGCCTCCTGTGTCGCCTTGGGCTGCTCTGGAGTGGGTCTGCCTCTCGCGCTAGAGTACTCTGCGGATAAGATTGCTCATCCCTTCTATCCTGTAGTTGGAAAGACAGGAGAGGCTTGGCCAGGCCCAAACACTCTGCCTCTTCTGTGCCCCACTTTGGCAAAGCACAAGGTGGGGGTCCTTGGGGGAAAGCGTGGACCCCAGGCCCTTGTATCCTTCCCCGCAGTCAGTCCCAGGGCAGGCCGCAGCGGGGCCTCCACTGACGGTGGCCCTGGCTTCCTCAGTGCAGTGCTGCCTACTCTCCCCAAGCAGGAGCTCAGTGTAAACGGACCTGGACTGGACACCCTTCATAACTGTGAGGTCATCAAAAACATGGGAAGGCTGAGCAACTGTCAATGGCCAGGGGAGCCCAGGCCTGGGTCAGAGGACAGCTCAGTGTCACCTGGCCTCCTGGATGGGGCTCTGGAACAGAAGAAAGACACTAGGGGAGAACTAAGAACATCTGAACAAAGTCTGAGCAAGATGCATCAACATTAGTTCATTAAAAATGGACCATAGTGTGTATACGCAGATATACGTGCATGTAAGACGTTAACAGTAAGAAAACTGAGTGTGGATTACAGGGAACTGCCGGATGATCACCTTAACTTTACTCTAAATCTAAGACAATTCTAAATAAAAGGCCTTTTGAGAAAAAGAGCAGGAACCATATAAATGTTCGTGTATACACACACACACTCTCTCTCTCTCTCTCTCTCTCTCTCTCTCTCTCTCTCCCTCTCTCAACACTCCCCTCTACACACCCCCCCCCAGCACTACAGAGATCTGTTTCTTTGGAGAGGACTTTGGTCCCAGCTATTCCTTGCTGCACCTTGCCTGGGGACTCCATGAACACCTACCTACCCCCTCTCCCCCCCAGAGAGTTTCCTCACTCCATCTCTGCTTTCTTCCACAGAAAGAATACTCTCCTCAGGCCAGATTTCATCGTGAAAATGAAAAGCAAGCACGAGACAGCTCAGGTAAGTCTGATTCCAAGAGCTCCCTAGGCCTGAGCAGAAGCAACCTTGCACCCCACAAAAGCACAGCCCTGCACCCCAACCCTCCTGAGCACCTCCTTAATCAACAGCAGACTTGACCTCCCCCCCCCACCGCCAAGTTTTGGGGCCACCTGGGCTCAAATTCCACTGCCGCTGCTAGGTGGTCCCTGAGCCTGGGGAGTCGCTGAGCTCTGTTCCTCCTCTCTCTAATGGGCGCAGCCAAAGCTGGGTCACAGAGCCACGGGCGGATGAAATGGAAAGAACTGGAAACTGGGCATGGTTTCTTCCACGAGGAAGGCCGTCAGCTGGGGAACACAGGCATCTCACTGTGCCCAGCACTCCTGAGGCAGGTGTCTGAGGAGGGACGCCACGGCGCAGGTCCAGGAGGACCCTGGTGATCGAGTGGCCCCCTGGGATGTCTGGAGCGTCAGCTGCACCAGAGATGCACAAGAAGGGGGCATGACTGGCGGAGGCAGGAGTCAGTGAGCCTGGAGAGGGTACACAGGGAGAGGAAGGGGGTGCCGCGTGGCCAGGACCCACACCAGTGCGGGGTTCCTTGGCCCACCCGGACACTTCTGAACACAGGCCCTCAGGGCCCTGCACAGCTCCATGGGGTAGGGAGTGGCTTTCAGGGGTGCAACCTTCCTGGGCCCAGAGCTGGCTGGGCGTTGGCTGTGCACTCGTGGGCAGGCCACCTCACCTGGGAGTCTCAACTACGTATTCCAGAGGTGATGCTTACCGGGACGGTGCTGAAGGGTAAAGGAGATGACAGGCAGTGGAGCTGAATGTCCACGGTCTGGGGTTAGGCCATGCTGTGTGACTTTAGAGAAGTTGCCTACCCTCTCTGGGCTTCAGTTTCTTATCCTCTGTGAAAGGGGAATGTGAACCCGCCCGTTACAGGTGAGAAGAAATAGTATAGGAAACAACTGAGATCCATTTTTTAGAAGAAGCAGCACAGCACCAGAGAGAGTACATAAATCTGCCGGCTTCTTGCCTCCCCAGCAAGCTTGACCTTGCCCCTGGCTCTAACGTTGGTCCTCGCAGCCCTGGCTGTCAGAGGACTGGCCAGGCGGAGGAGTCGGCCTCACTGAGCCAGGGGCCTCCACGGCCCAGCCCACCCCAGCCCAGCCGCGACCTCTCGCTGCCACTGCCACTGCCACTGCCACAGAAGGGATTTTGTTAAAGGCAGCGCACGCAGCGTCCGCCCTGCTGTTGAGCGCTTCTACCGCGCGCGCTGCGCGGGATGACCGCGCCGTCAGTTTAC